GTCTGCATTTGCCATTTTGGGACATAGGAAGCCCTGCAGCACAGAGTTCCTGATGCTCTGTGGGGAAAGGTATGCATGAACATTTGCAAATGCATGGTTCATATGGGTCAAATCGAAATGCCCCTTACAAGGAGTCCGATCAGGAGCTCACAGTATTCTTCTGTAGCAAGATGCTGCAGCACTGAACCAACACAGTGCTGTGTGCATCCTGACAATTGAATCTGAAAAGCCTGTTCTTGAGTGTCAGAAATAAGTCTCATTAGAATGGGTAGCAGCCCGACTCCATTCGTATAACATATAAAAACAACAGTGACAGAGAATGTATTCCTGGGTGGTGAGATCCATCCAGAAAGAAAGGGAAGGTATAACTGGAATCCACTTTCTAGGTAGCTTGTAGAAAGGCAGGAAGGAGAATGCAGTCCACAGGGCCCACTGGGGACGCGCTAGATTACTTGTGAATGTTTATTTCCAGCCTGGAAGGTGTTCTCATAGTCCATTTTAATTTTTTAAAACTGCCATACACATCAATTACATGTGCATTTAATGTGCATTAAAGGTACATACCGTCTAGTGATCTTTTAGGAAAGGCCTGTCCTTGACTTAGGAAAATCTAACACATAGAATGATGAAATGTAAGAGTGAGAATCATCGGGCATAAGTACCAGGAACATTTACATTTTTCATATGAGGAATGCTTCCTTGTGCAGGAGTCAGCTCTTACTCCTTGTTGGTTAGCATCTAATATTTGTATTACGCTGTAAGTGCTCATTATTGGTTTACAGTTTCTCTAATTGACCAATAAGCAAATACAATGATTAAGTCGTTAACTAAATTAATATTAGTGTGATGTCATTAATGGTATGGTTTGACGGTGTGAAAAGAAAGATACACTTACTTAGAGTTGAAAAAGGATTGAAGGGAAAGACGTGTGAGTGAGGTTCCTCTCTTTCCATTGCATATAAACAGAAGTTGGGGGCTTCAGACATTACGAGCACTTCCTCTGTTCCCAGCGCCCACATAGCAGTTTACAACTGCTTTACTGTAGTTCCCAATGATCTGATGCCCCCTTCTGGTCCCTGTAGGCACTGCACTCTTTTGGTTCACAGATATGCAAGCAGGCAAAACATCCATGTGCATTAAACAAAAATACATAATTATTTTTCAAAAGAAATAGATTATTCTCTGTTCTCTCTTCAGGACATATGAATTTTTCACTTCTTAGTGTGAGAAATGAAAGATTAAACGTACTTAAAAGTTATAAATACAGCCCCTCCTTTAGAAGGTGGCTTATATTATTTGAAAAAAAAGTTATAAATACATATTAGAAATGCTAGAAGTAACAATTGAACCAGTGAAAATTGTGGAGGGACAGTTTATTACAGTAATGAGAATAGATATTATCTAACATATATATATACATATATATAAACTAGTATTTTTAGAGTAATAATTGAAGGGTAGCAAATTAAAGACAAAAATGAATGAATTTATTGCTTTTTTCTATGCTTTAATTCTCTTTGACCATGAACATGAATTACCTGTGATACACTTGTGAAAAAAAATCACAGCATAGACAGATTTTCTTTTGTGGAAAAAAATCAGCATAATCATGTCTATCTGGAGGACCTTTTCTGGTATTTTAGTCATTTCAATAACATCTCAGTTTAAAATTTAATAACAAGGTGTAGTTGCTTATAATCTTATTAGAAACTATGTATCTGCCAGTTTTACTGATTACACTTTTTTTTAATCCTCATGCAGTGTATTTTAATCATTTTCATCTCCCTTCCCCCAAGCAATTCCAGATCCTCCCCTCCTCCATTCCCGCTCAACTTCATGTTCTTCCGTTTCCAAAACTAGAAAGTCAAGATATCAAACCAAAACAACAGAACACAAAAAGTGCTGGACTCACATGTTCAAGCTCTTCTCTGTTGGGGAGATGGCCGCTATGACACAGCAGTGCACGCGGTGTCTCTAAAAGGATGCGGGTTGGATTTGGTTTTTTTTTTTTTTTTTTTTAATCTTAACCTCCACCGGGCAGAGTGCCAGGCACACAGGAGTCCTCAGTTTGTGTAACCAGCTAGAAAGGAAGCTACTGTAAGGTTTGTAGTGGCCTGCTGAGCGATGTAGCTGCTTTGTGCCTCAAAATACATCTGCCCCAGTGGTAGGTGACTGTACCTTAAAAAGTCTAAGCCACCCTCAGCCCTAAAGTCTTTTGCTTTCCATCTTAGTGACAGGGCATTAGAAGACACATGTGAAACCGAAAACACATGTATCATACAAACACAAATGGTGGTGGATGGAATGATGACTAGATGGTAAACTCTGTGAATAAAAATGCTTGTTACTAAGCCTGACGACCAGCACTTAATCCGTGGGATCTACCATAGAACCCAAATGATAGAAGAAAGAACCAGCTCTCACAGATTGTCCTCTGACATTCCTGCCATGACCTTACACACACACAAACACACACACACACACACACACACACACACACACACACACAGTAAATGATAAATAAATAAAATGTAAAAAATGACTTAATATCTTTATATACATTTAGCGTATATACATACACATTTTCACAGATATCTGATCCTTTCTGTGGTTCATTTTCCCCCTTTCTCTCTGTAATTCTATTTCCATATGCAAAGTGAATACCCTGTACCTCTTCTACCTTATTTATTAATGGGCAATGCAGATTCCTTCCCAATGAGACCAGAGTGGTGACACCCAGCGGTCTTCTTTGTGGGGTACAAGTATCCCCTTGCCAACTCTTGGTCCTGAGACTTCGATACCTCACCTTTGTCACTTCCCCTTGAGGCCTGGTGAGGTGGTGACGATTCTTAGTAGCTCAAGCCCTTAAACATTTCAAATTAACTTCAGAAATTGCATCACCTAAATTGTCAAAGATGTTGGGGGTTTAATTTGTTTGTATTTTCCTCCTGAAAGGTAAAAAAAAATGTAATCCCTGTCTCAATCCTGGCCTTGCTTTTCCCCAGAAAGGGTCACTCTCTTTGAATACTGGGGTTGCCAAGCGCACCCACTATCAGACTGCTCCTGTAAATGTCCCTTTTGGCCCTGTGTTACCCCTCCTATTGGCCTGAACCTATTCTGTTTTCCCTGTTGCCACAACATAGTGCTGCTAAGAGCAGAGATAATGAACTGCAGCTTTGTCCCCATACTGAAGCCAGCCCAGGATGCCTCCAGCCCCCAAATCCCATGTGCAATCCAACCTGGGTTCTCTCGGCCTGTGGGATACTTGGCAGCATTATTGGTCAAGGTAAAACATTTACTCAGACATCCAATCAAGGTCTTCCTTTGTCTTATAATGAGTCCTTGGTCTCTGACGTGAACTGTTGGAAATGTTTCCTGTCTGGTACTGCTGAGCCTGTTTGATATCCTCCATTGTAATGGTGTCTTGGTATAACTGCTGACAGCTGTTCCTGGGGAAATGTGACCCACTTCTCCAAACTCAGGGGAGGGGGAGGAGAGTCAATGTGTATGAGAAGAATTAGACCCTTGTTTAGTTTTGTCTTGCATAATACAGGTGCTGTGACTGTATTTTGGGACTGTGGCAGGAATGGTGGTGGTTCTGGGAAAATTATTCTGGAAAGGATTAAATTAGTTTATTTTCTAGGCCGCTTGACCAGACCTTATGTGTCTCTTAAGTGAGCATACCACAGTTTTGCCCAGGGTATTAGAGCAAGCATCACTTGTGTTTGCTTTCATTTCAACATGGTTTCACCTGGGTCAGGAACCTAACTAGTCCAGGTGGTATCAACATAGGTGTTGTGGCTTTTGTTTTCTTTCCTTTGTATGGGTTTGGGACTGAGTGGCTGTCTCTTGTGAGTGTTCTGGCACAATGTAGACTTGCAGCAGAGTCATATCTGAGATTGATGTATACAACTGACCTCCCTTCCTCACAGTTGTTTAATCTCCTGCAAGAAAATACAAAGTGGGCTTTGGAGCTCAGTTAGGATGGTTTCTTTTGGAATATGTTCATTGTGTAATCCAGGAGGTCATTCCCAAAATGATTATGACCACCAGCCAGTGTTGGAATAGAATTAGCGAAGGGGCTGAGCAGAAGCAGAGGGTCCCGGAAGGTGTCAGGCCTGAATTGAAGTCTATAGCAAAGGTTAGCTGCTGCCACTGGGCTCAACTCCTGTAGCTCGGAACTTTCTACTGGTTTTGTTCAGCTGTTGGCACTGCAGAGCCTTCAGTAGTAGCCATAGCACAAACAGCTTTTTTCCTTCCATTGCCACAAAGCCTTAGGAGCTCCTTACAAAGTGAGGGTGCACATTTCAAACCACAGTTGGCTCAGGATTAAGTATTACCTTATGCCTGTTGTGAAAAGAATTTGGACTGCTTCCAAACTCCTAAAACTAAATCCCCAATAGCCACATCCTACGGAGATGTTCTTTTACTTGCCTCTCAGATGGTCAGAAAGGATTTCTGGTTTATATCTTATTCTGCTTTTATTGGGAGCCCCAAAATCTGCTGCCAGAGTTCTCTGTGGAGTGAAATTCTTGGACATTTCATGATTATGGCTTCAGTGTCTTGTGAAATTCTCTCCAAGTTCCAATTCGGCCTGACCCCATTTGGCTTGTGTTAGCAGAAGGGATCAAAGTTCAGAGTGCTTTGGATGTGCAATGCTAATGAATTTATTTCCTTAAACTTTCTGTAAAGTGTAGTGGAGAGAAACTCATTCCATCTGTAAGATATTCATCTTCTGGCAAGGTCTGCACTCCATGTCTCTGCTTGTTTGCAAATAGCTCCTTGGTACCTACTCAAGGCTCTGTGCCTGGGCAATTGTATTGCCAAAGCGAAATTATTCTTCGCATTCGGTTCTCAAACAATAAAAGATATTTTAAAAGCCTCCTGCTGCACATTTTGAAAGCTTGTTAATAGGAGCATAGAAATATGTTTAATCTTAAATCTTAAGGACTGGGAGAGACTGATGTTGGTGTTTTTTTTTCTTCCACTTCCTTTTTAAGAGAAAGCTGATGCGGAGCCAGAGAGTCCAGACAATGGCACATCGAATACATCGTAAGTGTCTTTCGCGTTTCTCTCTGAGATGACTGGTCTTTAATATGCCTTATAAAATGAAACAGTGCAAGTATCTTGTAATGGTGGTAATCATAGTGGAAGGAGGCCCATGGTTCTCCTTTTTCATGATAATGTCTTTTTAAATGCTTTCGGGTAGAGACGCACTTTGAGGTTTTATGCTTTAGCATTGAAAAAGGGATCTTGCAAATGCAAATGTTCTTCTTTATGAAGTCGAAATATAATTAGACTAGAGAGTATGTACTAAGGGAGAATGGAGATAAGCCCTTTAAAATTTGGCTGGAGACTTTTAACACTGACATAAGATTTACAGAACTTTCTACACATACTGGAGGGCTTTCTGTCCCACATGTCTGTGAAGTACCCAAGTCATTTAAAAAGACTGCCATCTGCAGTCTCACCTCTGAAATATATGACAAACATAACTATAGATATCTCTAAGATCTCGAGAGTTCATTGATGTTTTTAAGTAAAGCATTTGTTGAAGATGAGAAAAATTACTTAGACGGTGCCTCTTTCTTACATTTTTATCTTTTCCTTCTCAGTATTGAAGGGATATAAGTATGTATTTAACAATTCATATGATACCAAATTAAGGTAGGTCGTGTGGCTAGGGAATCAGCTCAGTTGGTGAAGTGTTTGCTGAGGCATGTGAAACACCCCTTTACCGCAGCTCTGGGGAAGCAGTAATAGGCAGATCCTCGGGGCTCACCAGCCAGCCAGTCTAGTGTTCTTGCCTTGTTCCAGGCCAACGAGTAGCCCGAGGTCAAATAATTACATTATCACTATTATTATCTGATATACCTATACAATACTTAATGGCAATGAAACAGGAACTGACAAACAATTCTTTTAGCCTCATCAAGCATCCACACCGGCTTCCTTCTTACAATGTTTATTTTGATCCCCCTTGGGGGATGAAGTGTTTGGTTATAGAAATAACTTTGTGGTTGTATCTGTTCCTGGATCGTTGCTCTCATGGCTAAACACCTGAAGTGTTCTTCATTAGCAACCGCAGTCAAAAGTGCAGTATTGTGTTCAAGATCTGCTTCCATCTATAAAGCTCCTCCGGCTTACACGAGGTGGCTGGATGTTTTATAACAGATACGGCTATGGGCCGTATTTCTCAAGATATTACCCTAAAAGTTCTAATGAGTTTCAGTGTTATCTTTTTCTCATGAGATAATAAATATGACAGTCCTAAATGGCTAAAAATGTTGCTAGTTTTTAAATTATGCTATAGACTCTAATGGGAGAAGAGTTTTAATGCCATCTGGAGGCATTCTAGAGAACTGAAAAGGGCAAAGTCACTGAAAATTTTCATTGAGTACCATTTGGACAAGATAAAAATGCATAAAACTAGAGTGTGAGCTATTGGTAAAATAGCTGTGTCTTATTTGTTATTTGATAACAGCATTGATTTCATAAAAGCAGCAGTCTTTCAAATTCATAACAAAATCGTTTCCTAGACAGACAAAAGAGCATCAAAAATATGTTGGTAAACTGTCAGCATATTATAAATACCTTTACATATTTTAAAAACCTCGTTCACCAGCCGGGCGGTGGTGGCACACGCCTTTAATCCCAGCACTCGGGAGGCAGAGGCAGGCGGATCTCTGTGAGTTCGAGGCTGGGCTGGACCGATAGCCTCCAAAACAATACAGAGAAACCCTGTCTCGAAAAAAAAAAAAAAAAAAAAAAAAAAAAAAAACCTCGTTCACCAGACTCAGTTTGACTCGTGTAATTTGATGCACTGTTAATGGTATCCTTCCTTCCCTTATGCATTTCTATAACATCAAATGTCGGGTTCCACTGCTTGGTGCTTTATTTGTCCTAATGTGTAGAAATAAGTAGGCTGTGTAAGGAGTGAAGTTTAAGCCCTCGGGTAATATGAAATCCTCAGCCCATCTTCCTGCCTCTTCACCCAAAGTGGTTCCTTTGTCTCTTGCTTCATGGTTGCCACTCAAATCGCAGGTAACAAAAACAGAGCTGAGGTTGCAAGGGCCTCTTAAAAGTGGGGCATGGTGGGCTTGAGTCTTGAAGAGTCTCTCAGAGCTCTTCCCGGTTCTTCTGTTAGACGCCGGCAGGAGAAACTGTGAGGGTCAGCTTAAGGATGCCTCAGACATGGGTAACATTGATATGCTTGCAGATGATATTATATGTACCTACTCACATATATGAGTATATACTTACAATCACAAGCACACACACACTCAACGAACAAATATATACTCCTCATTTGTGTTTTACTGTGATGGGTATAGCAGGGACACTCTACACACATTGCTTATGAGGAGTCTGAGGATCAGAACCATTGCCCAATTTAAATGATAACTTAGGGCATAAATTTTAATGGGACCACTTTTTTGTTAGAGAGGAGTACCAGTCAGGGGCTACTGTTACAAAGTATCACAGACTAGATGGCTTATGCAACAGAAATGTATCTTCCCACCATTGATTCAGGAGGTCCCTCCCTTCTGATTGTTGGCAGGGCGGGCTACCTGCATTCCTGGCCTCACATCCTCCCGTACATCAACGTGTAGCCATCCTCTCCGTTTGTCTTCACAGCATCTCCCTCCTCCTTGCATGCCTCTTTCTCCTGGCCCCTTTTTGTAAGTACACCATCCATAGTGATGAAGGCCCACCTTGTTAACTTAGATCTCACCCTGATGCTTTCACTTTAACGTGATTACGTCCAGAAAGATCCTGTGTCAACATGAGGTCACATTCTGAGATAATAGTTTTGGTCTGAAGAGGAAATGTCCCCCACGGGTTCCAGATTTGAATACTTCATTACCTCCACTAACGTGACACTTTTCGGAAAGGTTTTGAAGACGTCCATCCTGCGAACTAGCTGAAAGGAGTTCCATGTGGGGAGAAATCCTTGAGAGTATCTTGTTCTTTGTCTCTTCCTCTCCTCTCTCTCCTCTCTGCCACAAGTCTCTGCTGTCATGATACTCTGCCAAAACTCATGGGAACAAACAAATGTGGACTGAACCCCCTGAAACTGGGCACCAGAATAAGCATTTCCTCCTTTAAATTGTTTCTTCCAGCTGTTTGTCACAGCTGCATAAGAATAACCAGCATGGTACTAAGTTTAGAGCTTTAATATATGGATTTGTCAGGAGAAGGCAATTCAACCCATAACACTGAAAGCCAGATTTAGGGAAGGGAATGCATAGGAATTAGAACTTAACAGGAACAGATTGTACAGATTTCATCGGATGGGGCAAAGGGCAATAGCTTGAGTAAGACAGAAGAAAAGTTGTGGACTCCAGAGGGGCTGAGTGGACTTAAACTGTGGCTTACCATTGGGAGAGGCATGGTGAGACACATCTGCAATGCCAGCACTTGGGAGGCAGAAACAAGAGAGAGTATCAGTGCAAGTTCAAAGCCAATCCTGGTCTGTATAGTGAGTGCCAGGACACCCAGAAGCCACAGGTGTATAGCAATCCTGTCTCATAAATAAATGGCGTTGAGAGTCAGAGCACATTTTCTAAAGAAGTGCCTCTCTGCCTTGTTAATTGTAATGCTTTGCATGGTAGGATAAAGGAATTAGGGAAATACCTGAGATTTCCTTCAGGATTAATGATCCAAGGATTCAAGAGGATGAAAGGGGCAATTTAATATTTAGACACAAACAAAACCAGAAATATCTGTGAAAGAGTTTCAGTTGCATTAATAATGGGAAAACTCAACGTTAGATGCATTCCCCTCCTCTTGAGTAGTTGCAAAACTGTATGAGGTCTACTTTTTTAAGGCAAAGTATAGGAATTTGATCCTGGAAAGAAGCAAAGTGGGTTAAGTGAGAACTGCATTTGGGTAGACCCTTCTGGGGGGCACTCAGCCATCCACAGGAAGCAGCAAGAGCTGAAGGAGGGAAACCACACATGCAGTAGTGCGAGATGTCAGAGGATGAAGTCCCCGGTTGTGAAAGTATGTGGTAATCACGGGAAGACATTTCATACAGGAAAAGGTCATGAGAAAGAGAAACCCTCAGTACTGGATTTAAATACCCACAGGTACTTTAATGACTCTTAATTTGCTTAGTTGTGGGGAAGATACCTATGAGCACAGTAGAAAACAAGAAGTAGGACCCTGAAAAAGACCAACAGAGACTTGGTCTACTGCCTAGAGTTGGGAACTCAAATCTCAACCGAGATGCGGGTGTTGAGTAAAACTTCAATTTTCGGAAGCCCAGTAGGGCCAAGCTTTGACAGCAAATTGAAACTAGAGAGACAGTTAGTTCAGTGCTAAAAGCACATAGTGCTCTTAAAGAAGACCTGAGTTTGATTCCCAGCACTCAGGTCAGATACCTCATAACTGCCTATAACTTCACTTCCAGGGAATTTAGTAGCTAGTTTTATGTCAACTTAACACAAGCTAGAGCCATTGCCTCCTTCAGATCAGGCTGTAGGAAAACCTGTAAGGCATTTTCTTAATTAGTGATTGATACGAGAGGGCCCAGCCCATTGTGGATGGTGCCATCCCTGAGCTGGTGATTCTGTAAGAAAGCAGGCTGAGCAAGCCAGTAAGCAGCACCCCTCCACAGCCGGGCCTTGCCCCCAGGGTCCTGTCCTGACTTCCTTCAATGATGAATAGGGATTTGAAAGTATAAGCCAAATAAACATTTACAGAAAATGTAAACATATGAATATGTAAAAATGCTTACTGCAGTAAAAATGTTTTATAATTTGTATGTGTATAAAAGTAAAATATATGGCAAAAACAAAATAAATGATAAGGGTCATATACTCATGTGAAGAAATATAATATTAAATCTAAGTGCACTGACTGTAAGATAAATATACATAGTACACAGTATATCACTAGAAACAAATACTGAATGGACCTTATCTAAAAAGTAATTGCAGAAATTTTTAAATAGATTAACACAAATGATAATAGCACAAAAAGTGTGGAAACAAAAGACAGATGACACCAATAGAAAACAAGCAAATTTAAATCTGGCTACAGTGACT